GTAGTTCGAAGAATGGGAAGGCTGCTGTTGAAATTGGTATTCAGAGCTTGCGCAGTACCATTCATCAGCAATCCATTTCCAGATCGCTTCACCAGGTTGGTTGGAGAGGAGAATCACCCGAGTTCTATGCCACAAGTCAATGTATTCGCGCAGAGTTTGCAAGCTGGGGGAGCGGTTTGATCAAGGATATCCACCTGCTATCCTGGAGGCATTGCGGGACGCGCAAATTTCTTTGCCAGCTGTGTTGAAACAGGTTGGGAAACAATAGTTTTGGCGCCATTTCATCCATCCAGTGGGCGTGCCAAAAGAATGTGCCTCTTCCATCACCAATTTGAATCTTTGTGCAGGCTCGGAACAACTCTTCTATGACCTTATCAATCGGGAGGGGAAGCCCGTGCCATGGTTTGTCAGTGTTGTGCACATTCTTCCAAAGCCTCATTCTCAAAGCTCTGCTTTGCAGCTGCATATCTGGTATTCCAAGGCTTCCCAGCTCAAGAGGTCCACAAACCAAAGTCCATTTGACCAAACATTTACCTCCTGAAACTTCGTCCGAGGCCGCCCATAAGAATGCCCTTTTTATTTTATCAATCATTTTATCAAGCCATTTAGGATGAAGGATGGACATCATTTGGTAGGTGGGCATTGCAGATAGCACATTCTTCATCAACGCCAACCTTCCAGCCATTGTGATCAATTTTGCAATTTTATCGGTAAACCTTTGGAAGTCACTTCTTTTCAATCTTCTGTCAGACAGGGGCATTCCCAGGTAAGCACATGGGGACTGAGAGATGGTGCATCCCAGGACAGTGTGAATGGAATTAAGGTTCAGACCCTCACAAGCAATGGAATGATGCCGCTCTTCTTCTTTTTCTCTCGAATACGCACGAGTGTGCGTACTATATATTAAAAAAGGAACGGGGAAGAGCCCCTCCACGTTGGGTGTTACACAATATTACGATAAAGCCCAACTCCACCACAAAATTACCTATACTACTCTCTCATGCTCTCCCACCTAGCCACAACCCTAAAGAGAGCTTCCACATCTCCCTTCAAAAGTCCCCCTTCCTTCCATGCCCGGCCCTCCTTTCGATGGTTTGTAACGAAACTCATAGGGACGGGGTAGCACCGTCAAAGACGATGGCATTCCGGTGTTTCCATAATTCCCACATAACAAGGAGGATGATCGTTCGCATCTCCTTCATGCTCCTGTTTGCGCCGTTCTTCTCCGCACACCAATCCACCAGGTTTGTTCCGCCTGTCGGCACCCATCCCGGCCTGTTCAAAGCCGTACAGACAATAGTCCACACCTTTCTTGCCATGACGCAACTTAAGAGAATATGCCCAATGGTCTCATGCTGGGCGCAGAAGGGGCAAGCGTCGTGGTGATCAAGGCCATGACGGGCCAGCCGGTCCGCCGTCCAACATCTACTCCGTACTGCAAGCCAAGTGAAGAACCGACAACGGAGCGGAGCCCTGGATGACCACGTGAAGACGGCAGCCGGAGACACTTCCCGGCCCCAAAATCTAGCTTGGTAGGCGGATCTACAAGAGTATCTTCCATCCGGCTCCCAGACTCAACTAATCTTGTTTGTGGCATCCGGAATCAGATTGACGTGAGTAACTTGCGCCCATAGCTGAAAGTATTCCTGCAGCGCATCCGGAGAAAGCTCCGGGCCGACATCCCGAGCCCAGTCTGTGGTTGACAGGGCCTGGTGGACCGTCCTAGAGCACCTAGCCGCTCGGCTCACTGATGCGTAGACGTGCGGTGCAATCTCCTGCAGCCGGAACCCACCAAGCCACCGGTCCTCTTAGGATAGGGTGCGCATTCCGTTGCCAACGGTGGAGCACATAGCCGCTGCGCAGAGTGCCCTCGCTTGCTCCGGGACTTGGATTTGAAATTCTGCCCATGGCCTGGAGGCATCCGTTTGCTGCAGCCATGGCCATCGCGCTTGCATAGCAATGTTTAGCCAATTTTGGTTCGGAATACCCAATCCACCTGCCCACTTTGGCGTGCATAGTGCGTCCTAAGCGACCATGTAGTGGCCTCCACTAGCTTTGTTCTTAGCGCACCACAAAAAGCCCCTGCAGATTTTGGTCATGGCCGAGATCACTTTCTGCGGGATGTCGAGGGCCATCATCGCGTGCATCGGAATAGCGCAGAGGACGGATTTGACAAGCAGTAGACGACCACTTTTAGGCATGTTTGCTACTCTCCACTTTGGTAGACTCGCAAGGCAGTCTACGATGCCCATAAGTTGGGCTGCCGTTTGCTTCCGAATTGTGAGGGTAGGCCAAGGTACTTGCACGGATATGATCCGATCGGACATCCTAGCGTGGCTTCCACCCTCAGCATGGTTTGCTCATCGCACCAAATTGGCAGTGCTTCACTCTTGGAGAGATTGACCCTTAGCCCTGATGCGTGACCGAAGAGATCCAAGATTATAAGGAGGATGCTTGGAGATCTAGCTTGTTAGGTTTGATAAACAACATGATGTCATCCGCAAACATAGAGATGCGCCGCCTGAGGCCGGTCCCCGCAAGCGGCGCCAAAATACCCCTAGATGAAGCCAATTCCACCATTCCGTGCAGGGGCTCCATGACTAGTATGAATAGCATCGGAGATGGTGGGCCTTCCTGGCGTAGTCCACAACAGTTGTAGATGGGCCGTCCCGGCAATCCATTCACCAAAATCCTCGTGGAGGAGCTCCCCAATAATCCGCAAACCCAATCGATCTATCTTGTGCCAAACCCCATCGCGCGTAGGGTTTCCACTAGGAAGGCCCAGTTTACTGTGTGTCAAAAGCTTTTGTGATGTCGAGCTTGAGCATAACAGTGGCCTCGCGCAAAGCGTGTAGTCGGCGAGCCGTGCATTGTACCAACATAAAATTGTCGTATATCGATCGCCCTTTGTTGAAGGCGCTATGATGATGTCCCACCAGGTTCGGCAACTCAACGGCCACTCTAGTTGCCAAGACTTTGTCGAAGATCTTGATCGCGCCATGCATGAGGCTCATCGGCCGAAAATCTTTGAGTTGAACTGCACCATCAACCTTCGGGAGCAGGGAGATGATGGCCTTGTTGATCGATGGCAGTCCGCGCATGTCGCCCCTGTGGAAAAGCTCGAGCGCCCGCATGATATCGTTCTTGATGATATGCCAACATACAACATAGAATCCCCCAGTGAAGCCGTCCGGGCCCGGCGCCTTGTCCAGCGACATGGCTTTGACCACTTTCCTTACTTCATCCTCCAAGAAAGGCATTTGAGGTGCGACATATCTCTTCGTGGCAGAAAGCTCATTCTGGCCCATAGCTATTCTTGACCCGTGTGTCAAGGAGGTGATCATATTCCTCCTTTGCCGGTGCCGTGCGTGGCTGTGGAAGAAGCCAGTGTTCGCATCTCCCTCACGGAGGAAGGGCAGGCGAGATCTTTGACGCGCAAATGTTCTCTCTAGTGAGCATAGGCCAAGCAACTTCTTCTTCAGCAGCTTCCGTAGCGCATGTTCAGGCTGGGAGAGAGGCCTACTATCCATTGCCTTGTCCAACCGAAGGATCACTTCCATTGCAATGGCTATTTGTAGCTTGATATTGCCAATTCTCCTGTCACTCCACTTATTTAGTGGTTTGGCCATAGCTCGAAGCTTCGAGTCCAGAATCACGTATGGGTTTCCAGCTGCGGGTACGGGCTCCCACGCCTTGCTGACCACATCCAGAAATCCATCCACTTTAGTCCAGAATGCCTCGAACTTGAACCGTCTATCCATGAGCAAATCCGCGTTGAGGTCAAGGAGCATTGGACAGTGATCCGAGACTGCTGAACCCAAAGCCATGAGATAGCTAGTTGGGTGTAAATCCTCCCAGGAACTTGTGCAGAATGCATGATCGATCTTCTCCAGGGTAGCCGCCGCTCTCTCATTTGACCAAGTGTATCTACGACCATTATGGTACAATTCCTTCAGCTTCAAGAGGTTCAGTTTGGCTCGGAACCGAGCCATCATCATCCTGTTGATTTTGTCGTTTCTTTTGTCCTCCGGGTTCACTAGCAAGTTGAAGTCACCAGCTATTAACCAAGGGCCCGCCTGCTGCTCTCGGACGTCAACCAGCTCCTGCATAAAGTCAATCTTCTGACTATTTGCCTGCGGTCCATATACCCCTGTGATCCACCATTCCGCTCCATTGAGGGGCTTAACAAGGGCCGTGAGGGTGTTGTTCGTGTAGTGAGGGTGGGAGAGTGCCACGGCCGAGGCATCCCATGCAAGAAGGATCCCGCCTCTCGTGCCAACCGCCGGCAAGTAAAAGAAATGCTCAAATTTATTACCAAGACAATGGTTGACGATGTCCACCGTTACAGTCTCCGGCTTAGTTTCCTGTAAACACACCACACGTAGATTGGCCGCCATGACCACTTGGGCGATGGCCGATCTATGGGCTGGGCTGTTCAGGCCCCGGACATTCCACACTAGTGTTTTTAGGGGAAGAGCACTCATTTTTGCAGCCTACCGGTGCGTCCACCGCAAGGCACTAGTGCCCGCTCACCACAACATCTCCGTGCTCGAACAGAGGCAGAACCGAAGGTTCCCAACCGAACAACGCTAGGATAGCCCTGATGTGGTTGTCCGTCAGTGGCTGGTTGAACAGCTGGATGTACGCCTGGAGGGCCTCGTCAGAGATGACATCCCCTTCATTAGCTATGCATAGCTTGCGGATCAGAACTCCCTGTTGCTTCGTGGCCTGCGAGCCTCGTCCCACGCCCCTCGCCAGTCGCACACTTCTGCGGGGGTTAGATGTTGGCTCCCTCCTCTTGCGTGGTCGCCTTGTCGCCACCGGTGGTTCTCTGCTTGGCAGCCTTGACAGAATCGGAGAAAGGGCCGTGGAGAGCTCTCTATGTAGTACGTCCAGCGGGCTACAGGAGTTGCATGGCGTGCCTGGCTGGGGTGCAGTGCGTGCGGGGCAGGTGCCACCCTCGTCATGGCCCGAGAGACTAATCATAATCATGCCCCCTGCACACGGCCCATCGGAGACAGCAGCTCACCAGACCCGATGCCGGCCCCACTCGCCTCCAGATCCACATGGTCCATCTCCCTATCCGCGCCCACCAATGGCATGATTTGGTCCTGGCTGGGTGGCAGGAGGTGTAAGCTGCCAACTGGAGCCGGGTAAGGCTGTGCATCCGCCCCATCAGGCAGTGTCAGAACGACGGAGCCCACCCGCATCAAATTCAAGCCATCACCTGTACCTTCGCCGCCCGGCTGATTCCTCACCAATCGGTGGCCATCCATGCCCCAACGTTGTAGCGTTACCGACCCTGGGGATCCACCAACCGAATCCACCGCGGTCCACGCAACGCGACTACTTGCTAGCCCACCACAGGACACAGAACTCTCCCGCGCGCCCAATGCCTGCTCTGCATAAGACTCGAGGGAGGGACCGGTCAGGCAGCTCCACTTTGCCCAACAGCCGTATCGCCCACGTCAGCCAGAGAGATGACGGCAGCAAAGCAGCTGGAAGGAGGGCCCATCTCTAGGGGCGCAGGTGGCTGATCGTCCATCGGCTTCGACTACAACAGGCCTTCCGCCGGCGGCGCTGACCCGGCGAAGGAGGCGACGGAGCCACCGTGGCTCACCCGCCGAGCAGCGTGCTGACGAACCCCGCCACGATCAAGGCTTCCACTGTGCGGGTCGTCCTCCTCAGACGGCGGAGAGGGGGGTGGGGGCGCCATCAGCGGCGGGGTCAATCCTCACCGTCGGCGCGAGCACCGTGATCGATATTGGGTACCACAGAGCCGTTGGCGCATCCGAAGCGCGTCCACCATGACCCAACCGTGGCTCCTCAATGTACAGCCAGCGGTTGGCCGGAATCCTCGCCGGGTCCAGCGTACGCAGCCATACGTGGAACCCAGACATGTCGTAACGACTCGCCGTGCGCTCCCGACCTGCTCCACAAAACCGAGGCCTCGCAGGGCCTCCGCCGCCGCCGCCAAATCCACCGCAGGCCGCGTACTAGTGACGGTGACCACCACTGCGCGCGCCAGGTCGCTCTCCATCCGTCGAAGCTCATCCGAAGACTCCAGGAAGCAGCAGTCGTCTGCATCCACAAGCACCTCCGGGGCGAGGCGGCACGGCGCCACAGCCGGCCGTGCAAACGGGACGGAGAAGTCTGGGCCCCCCACACTGGCCACAGACTCAGAGCGCGCTGTCGGGCTCCACGGGCTTAGCACCCTAACCGCGTCGGGGGGAGGGGGCTGCACGGCGGGGGAGGGAGCGACGAACCGGAGCGCGAGGCAGAAACGGGGAACCGGGGAGGGGCCGACGGCATGAGGGGCGGGAAGTCCTCAACTTGGGCCCGAGGCGGGAGGGCGCCACCCCGGCGCAGGGCAGGAGGTGGGCGAGCGTGGCCCTCCAGCGGCGAGTCGCTCCGCCACCTAGTGCATCCACGGGCGATGTGCCCTCGCCACCACAACGAACGCACAATGTCTCATTCTGGCAGTACCGCGAGATGTGCCTGTCATCCCCGCGATTGTAGCAGCAGCCATGGAGGCAGGCTGGGATGCAGGTCTCGGCGGGCGCGTGGTGGGGAGGGTCGGAGAGGTCCGGCGGCGCGCGCCAGTATGGGGAGGGCGAGCCGCAGGGCTCCGCGGGCGGCGAGAGGCCCTTGTCTGCCAAGCCGACGGGCAAGGTGGTGAGGGGCACCCACCAGGACCGGGCTGGACGATGGGTCCGAAGGCTGTGCCAAGCACATAAGGCACCAGAACCATGGAACGAAGAGGCGGCCGGGGAGGAGGCGGCGGCGACCCCGCGAGGAGGACGAGGAGGACCCCGAGAGAGAAACCTGTGATGCTATGAGGGACGGCGGGAGGGTGGACGCTGGCACCAGAGTGGTGGCCGCCGGGGCCGGGGCGGCCGGCCGGCGCTCAGGGGCGTTGGTCTCGCTAAAAAAGTATTCACGGATGATGATGATAAAGAAAGGGGTTTGGAGAATTAATTGCCTTTTAGAGCTGATGCTGCTCTTCTGAAAGTTGGTGCGAAATCCAGTTGCATTTCCGAACAGCGATAGGATCTCAGCTACTGCGGTCGCCTCATTTCCCAACGGGCATATGAAAACGATAACATCGTCAGCATAGAGAGATGTCCTATATCGAATGGGTATGCTTCCCAGGGGAGATAAAATGCCAGCCTTGCTCGCCTTGTCAAGCATCCTGCAAGGCAATTCTAATTACAAGGGGAAGAGGGGGTCCCCCTGCCTCAGCCCTCTGCGATGATCAATTTTCTCTGCCAATTCTAATTAACCAATGCCCTTGTTGAGGCCGTGGAAAGGAACATAAATATCCAGCACCTCCACTTCTCGCCAAAGCCTCAAAAAAAATAAAAAATCCCACGCAACAGTGTCAAATGCTTTTGAGATGTCCAGCTTGATCAACAAAGAAGGTGTCTTATGCTGCCTCAGGGATATTGTCATTGCCTGCACGTACATGAAGTTGTCATGGATTGACCTCTGATAAAAGCATTTTGGCATGGGGCAATAAGAGTGTGCATCTTTGGTTGCAGTCTTGTGGGCTCATGTCTAGAATCTTTGCGACAAGCTTTGCAAAAAAATGGATCATGCTTATCAGCCTGAACTCGTTTGGTTGCGCTACCCGTGAGTGTTTTGGCAGGAGAACTAGGGTAGCAGTGTTCAGAAGATGCAACGAATGGGAATTGAGCGTCTGGAGCTTTTGCATTGTCAACATAACCTCGTTCTTGACAGTAGTCCAACAGTGCCTAAAGAACAGTCCCGTAAAACCATCCGGACCCGATGTTTTCTCTGGGTGGATATCAAAGACTGCCTTCTTCACCTCCTCTTCTGTGAAGTCCCTTTCTAGATCAGAGTGATCGCAGAATTCCATTCCAAGCTGGGCAAGATTGAGTCCAGCGGTTGGAGGTTGGTAAGCACAGAGAATGCTATTAAAATGGTCCCAAAAATATCCTCCTTCTGCTGCTGGTCCACCACCGTGACATCCCCAACCTGCAGGGACTGAATCATATTCTTTCTAGATCGCGTTGTTGCCTTCATACGGAGAATTTTTGTGTTTCTATCTCCCTCCTTTAGCCGAAGGAAACGCGACTTCTGCCTCCATATTGCTCTGTCAAGATCCGCCAAACCTAGACATTGCATCTTATTGCTCTTGCTATTGAATGGATTAGGTTCTGACCTGCACTTGCATTTGACCTTGGTCACATAGAAGCCAGTGGGCCAAGTCATGACATGGGCTTGGAGCAGCCGTTGAGCATTATAAAAGAAGCAGTACAGATTGAAACGTCTTGAAGCCTCTCATCCTCTTGCTTCTGTTTCTCACCTTCCCCTACCTGTATCTCACCCTTGTTGCTGATTCTCACCTCAAATCCCTTCTCTTGTATCCGAAATCGGCACTGATCTGATTGCTCATCCCATGTATGTGTTTGGGTCGTGACATCCTGCTAACGGATTTACCAAGGAAAGGGATTCTGGCTGAAAGAGATGCGGGTGTGGGAGATCGTCTCTCTAGTCGCATCTTCTCTGTCTCTCTCTCTCTCTGTATGTGATTTTTTGACAGTACTGTGCAATTTTCACTCCAATGTACTTGAGCTTTTCAAAGTTGAACTGTTTTTCACTTTTTCTGAAAGATCTTAATCCTTAACTGCTATCTACATTGTTCCGTTGCCCTAGTTAGTTGTTGTGAATATGCCAGGGCTTATGTTGTTGAATTTGAGTGATTTTGTCTTCAGTGCAATACAAGCATACACACAGATTTAATTTGACGTGTGTTCACGACTATGGCGGACTTGAAGAGAAATGAGCACGTTGGAGAGCGCTCTGTGTTTCCTTACCTGACCGCTCTAGTCAACTGCGCCCTTTGGCTTTGCTACGGCATCTCACCAATGGGTAGCAGTCTCATAATTGTGATCAATGTGTTCGGGGCTGCATGGGAGATCTATTACATTTACACATTCCTGTACTTCTGTGAGGAAGATCAACGTCCGTGGGGATTCATTTATGCGTGGTTCGGAATCCTTATTGTTTTTCTAGCAGATATGGCAAAATACAAGTTATTCTTCAGCTGGGCCTGCGCCCTGTGTGGCAGTTTGGTATCGGTTTCCCCTCTGTTCAACTTGGTACGTACACCAATACCATCTTGAATTCCCCTCTTTTGTCACAAATTACTTCCTCTGCATGCGAATGTTGTCACATTGCTATACATGCTAATGTTTTGCTCTAGGGGACTGTGCGTCGGCAGAAGAGCATGGACTCGATGCCACCATTGCTTCAAGTGGTGTTGTCTTTGGCGAACACAACGCTCTGGCGAACACAACGCTCTGGGCTGGATACGCCTACATGGCTGAAAAATGCGACAATTTCATCTTTGTAAGTATGAAGTAGTGTGTTTCCTGTTCCAAACCATGACCAACTGTCTAACTGTAGTTCTCCACATCTCATCGGCCTCAATGCAGTACCCAAGCTTGGTAGGATTCTCCTGCGCTGTTATCCAGTTGGTTCTTCACATCGCCTTGAGGCAGCACGGTGACTCTGAGTTGGACGAGGCGCTTGTGTAGGTGGCGCGGCATCCGGGATGACACATGAATGTGAAGAACTGCAGCAGGATATTTAACTCATCATCTATCCTTTTGTTATATATCTATATGGCATTGTTGGCATGTTATGAAGTGTCTGCATGAAGAACATAGACATGCAAATTGGAGCAGCTCGTGCGATATCTAAACAGGATGTCACTTATTTTTGCCTTCTGATGATTATACCGTGAATTTGAGTCAGTCTGGTTAAACTGACGGGAGTTGTAGTTAGCTGTAGAAGTAGCTGAGTGCCCCTCCTCTTTCTGGCCTTGTGCCTACATTTATTGTTCTCCAACTCCGGTAAAAGAGTTTCTTTTGGCCTTGTGCTCTAGCTGTCAACCGTGTTAAATCAGCGAATTTGTAACAGTGCTTATTATATTATACGTCATGTGGAAAATTTGATGAATTCTGAAAAGCAGCGACAAAATCCATCTACAGAAGCATAGGAACTCCACAAAACTATGATACAGTGTGCAACTATAGATGTAACTCGCACTGGAGCAATATTCAACATATTGTACGACCTGGTGCCTGCTTATCAAGAATAGAATCTGGTGCCCAATTAGAAACAGAAAAGCATCTACAACCATAGGTAGCTAATCCGAGACATAATATCTGCAGACGCGCCCGCGGACAACGGGCATCAAATCTTGTTATTTGCAACCACAGCTCCTATTTTCAAGACATTTGCGTCGATCATTTTGGCCAAACATAGTTTTGTGCACACGAATACAAATTGTTTGCACTTAATAATACAAATTTTAAACATAGTTCAAACATATATATTGATCTCGCGGTTGTCGGTGCATCTCCAGAAGCTCTCTGCCTCTTGTTCCGGGAGGCGGATCAGAACACCGGACTTTTCGAAATCATGTGTGTGCGTTGCCCCTTCACCCTCATCCTTGTCAATCATGAGGGAGAGACCTCCATGTGGGGTCTAATTCGTTTGAAAAATTAAATTTGAGAATTCCGTCAGGTTGTGTTTTTTATAAAGTTATGTCGAACCAAGGAGGAGGAGTACTAGAATAATCTATTTTCTAGAATGTACTCCGTACATATACTTCCCATATTCAGTATCCATCCGGGTCTTAATAAAACAATTTCCAGCATCTAATCATGTCAGCTTAAGGTTTGGGCTCAGCCTCCGAGGGAACGAGAGCACCGTTCTGTGGCGCGTCACCCGGAGTCGCTTGGCGGAACACGGCGCTCCGCGCGAGGAGGAACCCGATCGCGTGTCCGGCGACGGCAGCGAGGAGGACGCCGACGTTGAACGACATGACAGCCAGCATCACCAGGTAGGCCAGCGCCATCTTCACCGCGTGGAGCCCCGTGAGCGCCAGCACCACGGCCGGCCGGCGGCTGGAGACCCCCCTCGACGCCGCGGAGAGGGCCTCCACGAGCGCGGCGAGCGTGAGGACGATGAAGAGGCAGAGGACGTACATACCTGCGCCGGCACGGTCTCCGGGCCAGTCGCGGAAGAGTACCTGCGCTCGGTGCCCCCAGAAGAAGGCCGCGTGCATCACTGGCATCGTCCCCATCCCAGCCATGTCGGCTGCCGGCGGCGGACCCATCGGTCCCATCGGCCCCATCGGCCCCATCGGACCCATCGGCCCCATCGGAGGCATGCCTGCGGGCGGCGGTGGCGGCATCGGCATGGCCATTTTCCGGTGAGTTGAGCAGAAATGTCGGGTCGACGAGTTGGTGGGCAGTATAATTAAAAAGAACTCGCCCAGTGACTCTTGTCTATTGGAAAGCGAGGAATTCTACCAGAGAATGGAAAGACATAATAAAGGCATACATATCTATCTAACAAGAAAGAAAATAGGAACAAGAACAAGGAAGAGATAATAGCGATAGGGGCATTAGATACCGTGAGCTTTGGGATAGCAGATAGAGGATGTCTTCCTGGTTGCTGCCGGTGTAGCTGTCTCTTCCAAACAAGGCTGCTGCTCCGATTCTTCCTATAACCAGCCTTTATATTGACCTACGGACTGTGAGTCTTATCTTCTCGCAAAAAACAAAAGGACTACGAGTATTATCGAACTGGTGCCATGTATTTCAATAGTTCCAACTTTCCATAAAAAAAAAGAGTTCCAACTAAAAAACAATTATTAGGATGGATTTCCAAGTTTGAGCGCTAGATTTCAATTGGCACTAAAAGCTACTTTTCAGACATGGTATTACTACTAAAAGGGTTGCGCGCGTTTTGCCGCGCCGTTGGCGTTGTTGGATTTCTTAAAAAAACACTATATTTCAAAATATAAGGTGTATTACTTTTCTAAAAAGACAAACCTTCTAAGTTTGATCAAATTTATAGATAAATTTATCAAAATCCATAATATCGAATCAATATTTTTAAATTCATCATGAAATGAATTTTCATAGTCATTTTGTTTAATATTATGGATGTTGATAGTTTTGCTCTGAACTTGACCAAAGTTAAAGAAATTTGACTTTCTGAAAAACTAATACCCCTTATATTTTGGAATTGGTTGAATATTTAGTTTGGTGGGCGGGGAAGTAATAGAACATGTTTCTTTTATAATGCATTGATTTGGTGCACCTTTCGTGATGTGATTCTATGTTATCCGCTAACCAACCTATATTTATGTGAAGAAATTTTTGGACCGGTAGTTGCATATAACATATTGGTGCTACAATATCACATGGCGACGCTTCTTTTTTCTAGGTGCTGGGAGGGTGCGCGGGATTGATATGTTTTTATAGGCTGGTTGTCGCCCGTTGATTTGAAAAATCGTTGGCCCGGTCAAAATCGTAAACCAAATGCAAAATTAAATATCTCAATTGAATGAAAGAGTTTCAAAATTAGAGAACATAGTGAATTAAAAAAATTGAATGGGAGAGCTCGAGAAATTGTTGACCCGGTCAAAATCGGATGTCATGATTTTAAATTGAATACATCAATTAAATGTGAGCGTTAAAAATCAGGAAGCATAGTGTATATTATAAAATAATTGAATGAGAGAGCTTGAAGAAATTGTTGAGCCGGTCAAAATCGGATGACCCAATTATAATTGGAGACCTCAATTGAATGTGGACTCTTTAAAACTAGGGAGATTAGGATTATAGAAAATTAATTGTGAGCCTTAAAAATTAGGAAGCATAGTGTATAGTATAAAATATTTGAATGAGAGAGCTTGAAGAAATTGTTGATCCGGTCAAAGTCGGATGACCCAATTATAATTGGAGATATCAATTGAATGTGGGCTCTTTAAAACTAGAGAGCTTAGTGTTATAGAGGATTATCGTGGAAATTTTTGGACATGGTATTTTATCACTAGTTGTATTTTGAACCATGTGTATTCAAATATTATACTTTAGACTATGGAAATGATAACATTCTCTCAGCAATTGTGTTGGTTGTCGTTTGATATCCTGGCACGAATCACAACGCAAGGCTGCTGTTACGTCGGTTCTCAGAATCGATCGCTATAACCAGCTTCTTGTCGAACATCCCCTCCTTTATTCTCCCCACACAAAAATTATGGCAAAGGCGCGTGAGTGGTGGCTCAATCCGGTGACCTCCTGAATGAAGGAGGGGCGGGCTAAGATGTTTTGAATCTGATTTTCATTTTGAAATTTTCAGTTGAATTTTTTTTCAAAAGTTTTCCATGTTTTGAAAGATCCAGAATTCCTAATTTTTGTCATGTGCCCACGACACAATCCAAAAAGCTGCCATATTTTTTGGAGAACAATTTTCAAAACTTTTCATATGCATTTTTTAATTTTTTGGCATGTGCCCATTAAAAAATCTCAAAGTTTTCATGTTTTTAGAGGAGAAATTTACAACATTTTCTTTGTGCATTTTTATTATAGGTAGCATGCCAATTCATGATTTAGATGTTGGGCATTTTTTAAATTAGTCCATGATAATTTTAATTATTTAGACCATGGGCAATTTTTGTAGATTGCGTGGCAATTTCATTCTATTTAGACCGTGCCAATTTTTTCAGTTAGACCATGGCAATTTTTCTCATTTACACCTTGTCAATTTAATTAATTATGCAATCGTAATTTGTTATTTACATCATGATAATTTTATTAATTAGACCTTGGAAAATATATTAATTAGACAATGGCAATTATTTCAGTTAGACCATGGCAATTTTTCTCATTTACACCATGTTAATTTAATTAATTATACAATGGTAATTTATTATTTACATCATGATAATTTTATTAATTAGACCTCGGAAAATTTATTAATTAGACAATGGCAATTATTTAGAACTTTACACCATGATAATTTTGCTAATTAGACTCTTCACAATTTTCCGTGCCTTATACAATTTTTCATCATCTTTGGACCATGATAATATTATTGGACTTATCTAGATAAAACATTTTTCCTATTGAAGTTGCCATCGAATCAATTATGTTTTTTTGCACGTTAGAGCATGGCAATTTTAGTTTTTGTAGATACCATGCCATATTTTGCTTTCAAATATACCATGGTTAAATTTTAAATTAGAGGATGGAAGTTTTATAAAGTTTTAGCATGGCAATTGTAAATTTTTGTTTGTCTGCCTTTTATGCGTTGTTTTTTGTATTTTTATAGCATTTTAAAAATAATGAGGTAAGTGGGCCACCTCATTTTTTCCTTGGTGCTTCATAAGTCAGCCGAGGGTTCACGTGAACAATCGCTATAGCGAACGTTAAAAAGGGAACATGGTGTTCACTCGCGGACAAACGACATTTGTTGTGGTCCTTAGACTATTATGTCCACCGATATTTTCGCACTTTGGGCCAAGCCAAGTAGATTTGCATGAACTGAAACAGGCATCCATTCTAGCATCACCTGTCAATTAGACAAGTTGTGCCCTACTTGATGCCAGATTGTAGAAGTACTTGTTTGATAAGTCAAGTTGTGCTTCATTAGTGCAAAGTGTTAAGGAGCGTTAGGTTGCAACTCTTATTCTCTTCGTCTAGACCACACAAGTCCAGTTCATAAAGTTCATTGGTCTCTATACTCCTATACTTCTAAGATTCTAGTGAACCAGACAACTACCTTCGGATAAGCTTGCTTAGATGCAACTCCTAGCAGCATTCCCTCCTATCTATGGGCCTCATGTAAAACGAAAGGGTAATAATCTTGATGGGCTGTCAGGCACATCAAATATGTAGTGTATTTCTCTTAAATTTTTGGTTTCATAGGCAAGGAACAAAGTTCACATCTACGGGACATCAGAGCACCTCCAGCAGAGCAACAAAAAACTTCCCTGATAGAGCTCTTCCAATAAATTTATTAGGGTTCATAGGTATGGTGCTATAGCGAGTAAATTGCAAAAACCCACCCATTTGTGGACCCTAAATAAAAAAACCACCATATTACCCTTTTTTCCTTTTGAAAAAATCCATCACAATTGTGTTTACAATTTGCAAAAAGCATTGATCGATCAATTATAGTCATTTGACACAAAATTTGACAGTTGGGTTCCATTGTCAGGTACCACATGGCCGGGATAGAGACAATTCCCATCATGTAGGTACTAAAGGCACTAACTAAATAGGTTTGATCGGCCAAAATCGTACCCATCGTTGTGCCATAGTGCGCCCGCACGCTAGTCGGACACTGGTAGGCCTGCCTCGCAGTGCAGTCGCCAAGCGCTGCCAGGCCGCGTCATCGTCGTCGCCTCCCTTCCTCTCAGGCTGCCGCCACCACCTACTCTTGGTCGAGCCGCCTGGTTCCATGGAGCTCTGACTAGCCCAGCCCACCGCCAACCCAACCTATGACAGCACCGCTGAAAGGATCAGTATGGTCGAGTAGAGGGGAGGGGTGAAAAGGCGAGTAACAATTTTTAATCTTTTTTCAATTTTAGAGGATACAACAAGAATATAGTTTACTTAGATATGCAGGTAGATGAACAACCAATATGCCAAGCTCTCAACTAACAACAAGCTAGGAAGATAAACACTAAAGCAAGCTTGCAACTAGTGAGTAAAGGAAAGAAGTAACCACAATTTCATCTCAAGATAAATACTAAAGCAGTTTGCAGACACTAAAGCAAGCTCTCAACGAGTAGAAGTGAAATCAACAGTAGTAGTGTTGATCACACTTGATGGCACAATAGTACTCTTGATATGAAATTGTTCTATGCCTTGATAAAAGTTCAAATAGATACAGATAATAGTGTCCGCACACCACCAACACACTCATGCACTCACACATGGATGGGTACCACCATTATCCTAACCATTTAACTACTAGTTCATTTCAATAACATATTTTTATTTTTCAATAACATATTGTTCTGTTTGATAGTATGATGCATGTTAACGAATTGTCAAAAAAATGAGTATTAGTTGAGACGACATAGTTCTCGGTTATTTTAGGTCCATGAATAGCATCTTATTGGCAACGTACAGGCGTTCTACTAGTAATACACAATAACTTAGGCCTTGTTTGGTACTAGGGTTTTTGAGGGGATTGGGGGGATAATCCCCACAGGGATTGGGTGAAACCCCAACCTTCCCCCAATCCCTTAAAATCCCCATTTATCCCCAATCCAATAGGTAGGGGTAGTGTATTGGGTACTGAGAAACATGCACTAGAGTTTGGGGATTTGTGGGGAAATATGGGGATGAAACATGTCAAATACACTAGAACCAAATGGTGTTTTGGGATATGTGGGGATTTAGG